GACAGTGTAAGTCATTATAATCAGTAATTATGTCCCCACTGGATGCAACAAATGCCTCGTTTGTAATGGGTTTTAATGTTTTTGAATCATCGCTCCGGCCGGACATGGCATCAACAGTATGTGAGGGGCGTAACATTTCAGTCTCACGCTTGAGGTATTCGGCCAATCATAACGCATTAGATAGCTGGCCAATCACAGCACACCTTTCTTTTTCAGACTGATGAGCTTTGTAAAAATCAACGCGTTTCAGAAAGGCGGGGCATAGAGGAGAAACAATAATGTACAGTATGTGGGAAAATGTTTTTTTGAACTTTAAACTGCATAAACCCATTTCATTACACCAAATACACAAAATAATGTTCTTTTTAGCAGCATCATATGACCCCTTTAAAACTTTAGTTTCCCAAAGGCAGTCACAGAAATGCGGTTTGAAACGGCCTTTTTTTGCTATGTCACAATTCGATAACCAGTCGCGTCAAGGGATCCTATCCTTGGCATATCATTAACTGTGCAGCAAAGCAGAGGGTCTAGTGCAGGGGTGGGCAAACTTGGCCCTTCCAGGTCACTTTCCATCAGAGTTTAGCTCCAACTCTAATCAAACACACCTGAACCAGCTAATCATTGTCTTCAAGACTACTAGAAAGCTACAGGCAGGTGAGTTTTATCAGGGTTGGACCAAATCTCTGCAGGAAAGTGGCCTGGAAGAGCCAAGTTTGCTCATCACTTGGTCTAGTGAGAAGGCAGCCAGGTTAATCCGGTAACAGTTATATTTATATCTAGATGTTTCGCTAACTGTTAATATTTCCCCCAATTTTCACAGTCATGTGCTGTTAGCACTTATTTGTATTTAGAACCGCTAACTTGAAGAATTACCCGCGGCTTATGAAGATCCCCAAGACTTTTGGGAAAATACTCTGTGGACTGACGAGACAAAAGTTGAACTTTTTGGAAGGTGTGTGTCCCATTACGTCTGGCTTAAAAGTAACACTGCATTTCAGAAAAAGTTGGGTTCTGCAGCAGGACAATGATCCAAAACACACCAGCAAGTCCACCTCTGAATGGTTGAAGAAAAACAAAATGAAGGCTTTGGAGTGGCGTAGTCAAAGTCCTGACCTGAATCCTATTGAGATGCTGTGGCATGACCTTAAAAAGGTGGTTCATGCTCGAAAACCCTCCAATGTGGCTGAATTACAACAATTCTGCATAGATGAGTGGACAAATTCCTCCACAGCGCTGTAACAGACTCATTGCAAGTTATCGCAAATGCTTGATTGCAGTTGTTGCTGCTAAGGGTGGCCCAAACAGTTATTAGGTTTAGGGGGCAAACACTTTTTCACACAAGGCCATGTAGTTTTGGATTTTGTTTTCCCTTAATAAGAACCTCCATTTAAAAACTGCATGTTGTGTTCACTTGTGTTTATCTTTTACTAATAATATTTAAATTTGTTCGATGATCTGAAACATAAAAGTGTGACAAACATGCACAAAAATAATAAGAAATCAGGAAGGGGGCCAACACTTTTTCACACCACTGTATTTCTGGTTCAAACACATGGCTTAATTTAAACCAATATTTTGCATTGTCCATTGTATCGCGTTTACTACAGTTCAGTTAGTGGCGCTCGCTCATGGCTGGCTGGTGTGTGACCTGAGTGGAGGTGGGGCTAATTTGCGTATTCATAGATCCGCTTATAGTAAATGAGGCAAGGGTGTAGAGTTGCATTCAACCTATTTTAAGGCATGAGAATTATTTTCACAAGAAAAAACATTTAAATATGTCATTTTGATGATCAAAGAGGAGTTTTAAAAGATAACCTTTTTGACTACAGGGGGACTTAAATGCATGTTTTGAACGAATTGGGTGAACCATTTGGCGCGTTGAACCACTGGCCATAGGCACATTGGATTTGAAGTGGCGCTGCACAGACGTGTATGACATCAAAGTACCGCGAGAGTGATTCGAAAGCATAAGGAGCCCTCTGCTCTCTATAGCTCTCACAGTACTTTGATGTAACACCGATCGGTCTGATTGTGATTCATTAGTCGAACAAGCCTAATGATTCAATGGACCATTCATAAAGAACCATTTACTTCACTCCTGAATGAATCAGCCATTTGAACGAATCAAATGAATTAATAAATGACTTGATGACTTAAGACATTTACCACCACCTACTGGCAGTTTTGTTTTATTATTTAGAGTATCATTTCATGAAAGAAATAATTTCATGTTTCCATAGTAATAATAATAATAAAATTAATTAAAGGTGTAGTTCACCCACCCAAAAATTACAATTGTGTCATTTACTCACCCTCATGGTCCAAAAGAATATATGTAATTTTATCAAACAAAATATTTCTCGCTGAAGCTACTTTTTGTAATGTTTGTTTGATGCTTTATACGACAATGACTTTAAATTATCTTTTGGGAGTAATTTCTCAGCCTAATTAATTAATCGCCACATGTAAAATTAACTAGATAAATTAATCACCTACCAACCTTATGAACACTGGATGATTTTAGCGCAAAAATAAATTGTGGCATAAATGGCATTTAGTCCGTATCTCATTTCCTTAACGTCTTGTACCTTTGACTAGGGCTGCACGATAAATCGTGATAAATCGCAATCAATATTAGGCAAAAGCTGCAATATTCATGCGCGCATCTCGTGTCAGTGAGGCACAGTTCTGTGATCTGTAGTAAATCTCCATCCAAAGGCCAGAGGGCGCTCTCACGCAGAAAATCCAAATACACCCCGCAGAAGAAATCCAGGAAATCCCGATCACTGAAATACATCAGCGAATTATTAAATGTAAGTTTCAAAAACTTTTCATTTTTGACATCAATGTGACTATAGTGCCAAAATATGTTCGAACTAAGCCTAGCCTATAAAACTCAACAATAAGCCACCTTTTCTGTCATTTTATGGCATAAAGCACACCTCCTTAAATGTAATCTAAACATTCCAAGTTAATATCCTATTTTTTGTAGGATTTCTAGGCATTTTTCATGTCGCAGTTTTAGCCTGTTAATCTTTTTCTCCACTTTTTTTTTTGTTTTTGTTTGAGTAAATTGTGACGCGAATAGTCTCTCATGAACGTGCAGCCTTGTAAAGAGGACCAGCGGCCAAGGTCAGGGTTTTTCATTCAAAAATTCTCATTAGCCTGTAGATTGAAATGAAAGATCCTTAACCCGCTAAGTGCCAAAGTCGCAAAATTGCGACAAGATGTCATACTTCATAAAATAGGCTGTAGATCCTAATATGGTGAAATATCTCATTTGTATTCCCTACCACTAGATAGCAGACATGTAGTACTTCGATTCTAGACCAAAATGACATCATGTTCCTATTCAAAGTGTTCAAGCAAATAGCATAGCAAGTGAGCTATCGTGTCATTGATGCGGAAGCAGTTCAGTTCAGAGCATCTGAGAAAATTGTGAGATTTGTGAGAGAAAATCGCCAAATGGCTAATAAAAAGTTGTACCGTGAGGATGTGTTGCAAATGTTATTTGCCGATTCTGACTCTGAAGGGGAATATTTGCCTTTTGGAAATGACTATCGGTTGTCTAATGATCGCGCTTCTCCCGGGACATCTTTGCAGTGCAATGGTGCTGCCGTGCAAGGAGCGAGTGTTCACGAAGCACAAACAAGTGATCATTTCAACCCTTTGCCCGATGGGGGTGGCAGGGGTGAACATGGTCGTAGTGTCCATAGGAGAGCTGTTGCTAGAGGTGGAGGCAGGAGGGGTAGGAGAAATAGGGCTGGAAGTAACACTAGCTCTTTGGATCCAGCGCCCCAAAGAGGTGGGAGTGGCCGCGGTAGACGTGGCCGTGCTGTGCGTGGTAGAGGCAGCAGGGGTGATCTGGCTCTAAATAGGACTGGAAATAGCAATGACAATGGTGGCTGGGTTTTTTGAGAAATGAAGACGTGTATCAGGACTGGATCAAACGCTTTGAGCCTGTTGGTTATCTAGGAGAGAAAGATTTGACCAGTGCTGGACCCTTACAAAGTACAGGTGCAGTCAGTGTGGGGTAGGTCTGTGTGCTGTGCCATGCAATAAGAGGTACCATACTCTCAAGAACTATAAACTGTCACCTAGATACCTGATTGGGCAGATAGCTGGTCAACTGATAAAAAAAATAGGCACATGCATTTTACTATGGCACAGTAATATAGTAATAATTTACTGTAGTTATTAATAGTTTTACTGTTGATTTCCTCTTTTCCTGATCATTTGGAATGAAGATAAAAAGACAAAAAAAAACAAGTTCAAACATCAATTCAATATCTACTATTTCCTGAATATTATGAAATTCAAGATGTCCGCCCCGACGTCATACGCAAATTAGACTAGTATATTTACACCCCACATAAACTTTCGGTCATGCCCAACATTTTTCTAATTTACAGTAGATCTCTATCTTTAAGCCCTTTCAAGCCACAAGCTTTTGAAATCTTGATGTCAAAATCCAGCTTTTTTTTCCAAAAAACTCTGGTGCCTAAAGGGTTAATACTACAATATTACAACAAGGAATTTGTGTAATTTTTTGGTTTTCATAATGACCGTTTAATAACCGTAACATGCAGTAAGAGCCTGTGTAAATTTCTTTCATTCTTTTTTTTTTATTTTTTGATGCTTTAGGCTGCAGCCTATGACTATCCCACGTTTTGAAATGAACCCTCACTATAAATTTTCTAATCATTTTTAAGTATGTTATGTTATATTATGTTATTGTTTTAATTTGTTATTTGATCTCAGTTTACAAAAAAAAAAATCATAATTCCAGTCAGTTTGCAACTTGTCCCTTTGCGCCACCTGTAGGTTTAGTGTTAGGGGATAGAAAATATTTTTGGTCATTATGAAAACAATAGAATCCCGAAAGTCCCCACAATTCACAGAAACCTAATGTGTGTGTTCGTTTCTCAGTTCATCAGCTATTGCCAATTTTGTGTATTGCCTGCCATAATGAAAGTGAAACTGTCCATTTAATCCCTCAGACTCGAGATGGAAGGATGTACTACTCTTTAGGAGTACTTTACTTTGATCACCTTCAAAAGAAGAGTTTCTCTGGCATTGCCACCTGTCATGCTGCCATCCTGCCACATGATGCACCTTCTACAGAAGAATCACCTGAAGTTATCTGTGGAAAGCCATTTGTGATCGTAAAATTACCAGCCAAGAGGATTAAAAGTGTTAAAGTTTTGGGTGAGTACTTAGTGATAAGTACTTATGGATAAGGTAGTTACACCACTAATTTTGGACTATAGCAATTTTATTCTATATTCATGAAGCTTCAGTAGAACAACATTGAACAACAGTGATATGTTGTCGGGCCATAAGTCAGTAAAAACAAATTTTCCGGTCCTGTCAGCCGTTATACTGTGCTCATAGCATGTGTGCTTCAATTGCGTTTACAAATGGGGTGGCACGCACGGTGTATTTCATATTAAAGCGCAAAAGAAACTACGAGCATGCACCATTGTAGTTTTGTAAGTTAAGTCATGAAGATGATTAAAGCGGTGTTAAAACTGTGCATGCATTTAAGTATTTGTTAAATATGAGTCACATTTAAGAACATGTCTCTGAAATGCAATGACTTTCACAACTGTCATTGTGCATCCCAGCACTGTCTCCCTCATCTGACACCTGATTCAACTAATCAACTCCTTACTAGAGACTTTAAGATCTGTGTGGGTCAGGAGTGTTAAAGAGTAGTGAGAAAATACAATGCATGTCAGATCCGCATAATGATCAGCAACGGCATCTCTTAAGGTAATAGCAACCAAAATAACCTAATAACCCCGCTGCTGTGATGTCTGTTAATCAAAGAACAAAAGAAAGAGGAAATCAATAACTTTTGTAGCTTTGATCGATCTATATTTAATTTAGAATTTAGTGTTTGATAACTTTAATTAGTTTCTGTGTATTTCGTACTTGCTGAAGGGCACAGGTAGCTAATTATGACATTTTATTATTGTGGGTTTATGTGAAGACCGTTTTAAGTTCACGTAAATTTTTTTTTTTTCAAATCTAATAAATGTTAAAATTGATAGCTCTCAATTATACTGTTATGTTGAATGGCTATAGTCAATGGTTAAATAGGAAAAAAGTTTCATAGAGACATCAGTATTATTGGTATCAGTGAATCTCACCTTCAGTCATAAAGATGCCATTAAACAAATATTAAAAATATACTGTCTTTGTTGATTCTACATTAATTTAAAGATTGAATGTGAAATTATTGCGCAATAAAAGTATATTTAAAAACTTTAATGTTAGGTGGGATTTATCACGATTAATTTCAGAAAAAAAATAATGAATTCCTTTTTTTTTTTTTTTTTTTTTTTTTTTTTTTTATTTATTTTTTTTTAATCTATTGACAGCACTAATAATAATACAAAGAACAGACGTAAACTGGTAACCATTTTGAAACAATATTTACATCCAGGAAAATTCTTCCTGTCTACTTCTGTTCTCAAGGTATGTCCAGGCAATTGCCTCGTGCAGTCCTTTGGAAAAGTCACCATACTGTGTTAGTCAAATTGAAACGCTCTGCAGTCGAGGTAAGACCTGTACAATGTATAATCAAGTTTTGCTGCCATGTTTTTGTTGTCTCTTAAATTTGACAATGTATTGATTTTGTGAGGATGGTATTCTCCAGCTGGATTATCTTGATGTGACTGTAAAATTGCAGACAGTCATGTTGTCCTGTGTTCAACAGACATTTAAAAAGGACATCAGAAAACGAAGACAAGACCCTTTTGATTTTATTCGGGAATATGATTCAATACCTACTGTTGGGGCAGATTTTGGTCTTTTGGACTTTGTCAAACCCACTGTTCCATGTGGAGAATTTGAAGAAACCCCTAAAACTACCCAAAGAACACTTTCATCAAGTAAAACGTACACACCTGTTATGACGACTGCTGGAGCAACAACCTTACCTGAAACCATGCCTTATTTAACATCTGCTGCTGGAACCACAATAGCTCTGAAAACTACTTCTACTGAAACTACTTTTCCAGACATCACGTCCATAGAAACTACTTCTCCGAGAACTAATACTGCTGAAATAATGCCCTCCATTAGTTCAACAGTAAATATTTTAGGAGCATCCACAAATGTAATGACAATCTCATCTGAGCCAACACCTGCCGTAATGTTTGCGGTTGAAACCGCAATGGCTAAAACTACCACAGAGACTAATACCCTTGCCACAACTGCTGAAGAAACTACTAACCTTGGCATCACTTCTGAAGAAACTACTACCACTTCTGTAGAAAGCACAACCCTTGGCACAACTTCTGCAGAAACTACTACGACTTCTGAAGAAAGAACAACCCTGGAAACCACTGCTGTGGAAACTACTACCCTTGGCTCCACTTCTGCAGCAAGTACCTCACTTGGCACCTCTTCTGTCGAAAGTACAACCGTGAGCATAACCTCTACAAAAACTACTACCCTTGTCACCCCTTCTGTAGAAAGCAAAACCCTTGGTGCCACTTCTGCAGAAAAAACATCCCCTGCAAGTTCAACAGAAATATTGGAAACATCCACACTTGGAACAACCGCAACTACGCCTGCCTCAACATCTCCAGCTGAAACCACAATGGCTCAAACTACTACTTCTGCAGAAACTACTACACTTGGAACCACTTCTGTTGAAAGTACCATCTTGGGCACCACTTCTGCAAAAAAAACATCCTCTGCAAGTTCAACAGGAATCTTGAAAACATCGCTTGTAACAACTGCTGGAATGTTTGCAGAGTTTAGGACAGATTTTGACCTTCCAGACTTTGACGTCAAACCCACTGTTCCATGTGGGGAATTTGAAGAAACCCCTAAAACAACCCAAAGGACACTCCCATCCAGCACACCTATATATCCACACCCCACTTCATGGACAAACACCGATCCCTTCAGGCCACCAAATATAACTCTTGGTACAACCAAAGAAGGGAAATCCTCAAGTGCAGCTACACAACCAGACAGGGTCACCAAAACTGCAACTCCTGTTGTTGATGCTGATGTAGAGTTTGGGAAAGATTTGGACCTTTCAGACTTTGATGTCAAACCCACTGTTCCATGTGGGGAATTTGAAAAAACCCCTAAAACTACCCAAAGAACACTTTCATCAAGTACTCCCACACAAACAGGCCAGACTACATTGAAAAGCACAAGACATGACTATGAATGGGGTTTCTCAGATATACCATTGACTCCTTTCAATTCTGCAGAAACTGCTCACTCCGTTAGCTCAACAGAAATTGTATTGAAAACATACACACCTGTTATGACGACTACTGGAGCAACAACCTTACCTGAAACCATGCCTTATTTAACATCTGCTGCTGGAACCACAATAGCTCTGAAAACTACTTCTACTGAAACTACTTTTCCAGACATCACGTCCATAGAAACTACTTCTCCGAGAACTAATACTGCTGAAATAATGCCCTCCATTAGTTCAACAGTAAATATTTTAGGAGCATCCACAAATGTAATGACAATCTCACCTGAGCCAACACCTGCCATAACATTTGTGGTTGAAACCGCAATGGCTAAAACGACCACAGAGACTAATACCTTTGCCACAACTGCTGAAGAAACTACTAACCTTGGCATAACTTCTGCAGAAACTACCACGACTTCTGTAGAAAGCACAACCCTGGAAACCACTACTGTGGAAACCACTACCCTTGGCTCCACTTCTGTAGAAAGCAAAACCCTGGGCACAACTTCTGCAGAAAACATTACCCTTGGCTCTACTTCTGCAGCAAGTACCTCACTTGGCACCTCTTCTGTCGAAAGTGCAAGCGTGAGCATAACCTCTACAAAAACTACTACCCTTGTCACCCCTTCTGTAGAAAGCACAACCCTTGGTGCCACTTCTGCAGAAAAAACATCCCCTGCAAGTTCAACAGGAATATTGGAAACATCCACACTTGTAACAACAACTGCTGGAGCAACAGCAACTACGCCTGCCTCAACATCTCCAGTTGAAACCGCAATTGCTAAAACTACCACAGAGACTAATACCCTTGCCACAACTGCTGAAGAAACTACTACACTTGGCATCACTTCTGCAGAAATTACTACCCTTGGCATCACTTCTGCAGAAACTACTACCACTTCTGTAGAAAGCACAACCCTGGGCACGACTTCTGCAGAACCTACTACCCTTGGAATCACTTCTGCAGAAACTACTACCCTGGGCACGACTTCTGCAGAAACTACTACCCTTGGCATCACTTCTGCAGAAATTACTACCACTTCTGTAGAAAGCACAACCCTGGGCACGACTACTGCAGAAACAACTACCCCTGGCTCTACTTCTGCAGCACGTACCTCACTTGTCACCCCTTCTGTAGAAAGCAAAACCCTGGGCACAACTTCTGCAGAAACTACTACCCCTTCTGTAGAAAGCACAACCTTTGTTGCCACTTCTGCAGAAAAAACATCCTCTGCTAGTTCAACAGGAATATTGGAATCATCCACACTTGTAACAACAACTGCTGGAACAACTGCAACTACGTCTGCCTCAACATCTCCAGTTGAAACCACAATAGCTCAAACTACCACTCCTGCAGAAACCAATACCCTTGCCACAACTGCTGAAGAAACTACTAACCTTGGCACCACTTCTGCAGAAACCACAACCCTTGGCTCTACTTCTGCAGCAAGTACCTCACTTGGCACCTCTTCTGTAGAAAGTACAACCGTGAGCATAACCTCTACAAAAACTACTACCCTTGTCACCCCTTCTGTAGAAAGCACAACCCTGGGCACGACTTCTGCAGAAACCACTACCCTTGGCTCTACAGCTGCAGCAAGTACCTCACTTGGCACCTCTTCTGTAGAAAGTACAACCCTGGGCACAACTTCTGCAGAAACTACTACCACTTCTGTAGAAAGCACAACCCTGGGCACAACTTCTGCAGAAACTACTACCACTTCTGTAGAAAGCACAACCATGGGCACGACTTCTGAAGAAAGAGCAACCCTGGAAACCACTGATGTGGAAACTACTTCCCTTGGCACCCCTTCTGTAGAAAGCACAACCCTTGGTGCCACTTCTGCAGAAAAAACATCCTCTGCTAGTTCAACAGGAATATTGGAAACATCCACACTTGTAACAACAACTGCTGGAACAACAGCAACTACGTCTGCCTCAACATCTCCAGTTGAAACCACAATAGCTCAAACTACCACTCCTGCAGAAACCACTACCTTTGACACCACTTCTGCAACAAGTACCTTACTTGGCACCACTTCTGTAGAAAGTACAACCGCGAGCACAACCTCTGCAAAAACTACTACAATTGTCATCCCTTATGTAGAAAGCACAATCATTGGCACCACTTCTGCAGAAAAAACATTCTCTGCAAGTTCAACAGGAATCTTTGAAACATCCTGGCTTGAAACAACTGCTGGAACAACAGCAGCTACGCCTGGCTCAACATCTGCAGTCAAAACCACAATGGCTCAAACGACACCTTTTTCAGAAATTACTGCACTTGGCTCCACTTCTTTTGAAAGCACTATCCTGGGCACCACTTCTGTAGAAAGTACAACCCTGGGCACCACTTCTGCAGAAACGACATCCTCTGTAAGTTCAACAGGAATATTGGTTACATCTACACCAGTATTGATGTCTGCTGGAACAACTTCAGTTACTACTACACCTGGCTTAACATCTGTTATTGGAACCACAATGGCTCAAACTACTACTTCTGCAGAAATTACTACATTTGGAACCACTTCTGTTGAAAGTACCATCTTGGGCACCACTTCTGCAGAAAAAACATCCTCTGCAAGTTCAACAGGAATCTTGAAAACATCGCTTGTAACAACTGCTGGAACGTTTGCAGAGTTTGGGACAGATTTTGACCTTCCAGACTTTGATGTCAAACCCACTGTTCCATGTGGGGAATTTGAAGAAACCCCTAAAACTACCCAAAGAACACTTTCATCAAGTACTCCCACACAAACAGGCCGGACTACATTGAAAAGCACAAGACATGATTATGAATGGGGTTTCTCAGATATACCATTGACTCCTTTCAATTCTGCAGAAACGGCTCACTCCGTTAGCTCAACAGAAATTGTATTAAAAACATACACACCTGTTATGACAACTGCTGGAGCAACAACCTTACCTGAAACCATGCCTTATTTAACATCTGCTGCTGGAACCAGAATAGCTCTGAAAACTACTTCTGCTGAAACTACTTTTCCAGACATAACGTCCATAGAAACTACTTCTCCGAGAACTAATACTGCTGAAATAATGCCCCCCATTAGTTCAACAGTAAATATTTTAGGAGCATCCACAAATGTAATGACAATCTCACCTGAGCCAACACACTACTACCACTTCTGTAGAAAGCACAACCCTGGGCACGATTTCTGCAGAAACAACTACCCTTGGCATCACTTCTGCAGCAAGTACCTCACTTGGCACCTCTTCTGTAGAAAGTACAATCCTGGGCATGACTTCTGCAGAAACTACTACACTTGGCATCATTTCTGCAAAAACTACTACCACTTCTGTAGAAAGCACAACCCTGGGCACGACTTCTGCAGAAAGAGCAACCCTGGAAACCACTGATGTGGAAACTACTACCCTTGGCACCCCTTCTGTAGAAAGCACAACCCTTGGTGCCACTGTTGCAGAAAAAACATCCTCTGCTAGTTCAACAGGAATATTGGAAACATCCACACTTGTAAAAACAACTGCTGGAACAACAGCAACTACGTCTGCCTCAACATCTCCAGTTGAAACCACAATAGCTCAAACTACCACTCCTGCAGAAACCACTACCTTTGACACCACTTCTGCAGCAAGTACCTTACTTGACACCACTTCTGTAGAAAAAACATTCTCTGCAAGTTCAACAGGAATCTTCGAAACATCCTGGCTTGTAACAACTGCTGGAACAACAGCAACTACGTCTGCCTCAACATCTCCAGTTGAAACCACAATAGCTCAAACTACCACTCCTGCAGAAACCACTACCTTTGACACCACTTCTGCAGCAAGTACCTTACTTGACACCACTTCTGTAGAAAAAACATTCTCTGCAAGTTCAACAGGAATCTTCGAAACATCCTGGCTTGTAACAACTGCTGGAACAACAGCAGCTACGCCTGGCTCAACATCTGCAGTCAAAACCACAATGGCTCAAACTACACCTTTTTCAGAATTTACTGCACTTGGCTCCACTTCTGTTGAAAGTACTATCCTGGGCACCACTTCTGCAGAAACGACATTCTCTGTAAGTTCAACAGGAATATTGGTTACATCTACACCAGTATTGACGTCTGCTGGAACAACTTCATTTACAACTACACCTGGCTTAACATCTGTTATTGGAGCCACAATGGCTCAAACTACTACTTCTGCAGAAATTACTACACTTGGAACCACATCTATAGAAGGTACTACCCTTGGCACCACTTCAGTTCAAATTACATCCTCGGTTAGCTCAACAGGGATGGTGTTGGATACAGCCACACCAGTTACAACAACTGCTGGAAAAACAACCTCAGCTATAATTAGACCCGAATTAACGTCTGTTTTTGAAGCTACAATGGCTCAAATTGCCACTTCTGCAGAAATGACTACACTTGGCACGCCTTATATAGAAAGTGCTAGCTTAAGGACCACTTCTACAGAAATGGAAATCTCTGCAAGTTCAACAGAATTATCGGAAACATCCATGCTTGAAATGACAACAGCCAGAACAACAACAACCTCAACTGTAACTATGCCTGCCTTATCATCTGCTGTTGAAACAACAGTGGCTCAGCGTACCACCTCTGCAGAAATTACTGCACTTGGTGCCACTTCTATACAATGTACAGCCCTAGGCACCACTTCTGCAGAAATTACTACCCTTGGAATCACATCTGTGGAAAGTACTACACTTGGCAGTACTTCTGTAGATATTAGTACTCTGGGCACCTCTTCTGCAAAAACTCCCTCACTTGGCACCACTTCTGTAGAAAGTACAACCCTGAGCACAATCTCTGCAGAAACTACTACTTTTGGCATCCCTTCTATAGAAAGCACAAACCTGGGCACCACTTCTGCAGAAACAACATCCTCTGTAAGTTCAACTGGAATCTTGTTAACATCCATGCTTGTAATGACAACTGCTGGAACAACAAGCATGACTACGCCTGCCTTAACATCTGCTGTTGAAACCACAGTGGCTCAAACTGCCTCTTTTACAGAAATTACAACACTTGGCTCCACTTCTACAGAAACTACTACCCTTGGCACCACTTCTGTAGAAAGTACAACCCTGGGTACCACTTCTGCAGAAACAACATCCTCTGTAAGTTCAACAGGAATCTTGGAAACATCCACGCTTGTAATGACAACTGCTGGAACAACAGCAACTATGCCTTCCTCAACATCTGCAGTTGAAACCACAATGGCTCAAACTGCCTCTTTTACAGAAATTACAACACTTGGCTCCACTTCTACAGAAACTACTACCCTTGGCACCACTTCTGTAGAAAGTACAACCCTGGGTACCACTTCTGCAGAAACAACATCCTCTGTAAGTTCAACAGGAATCTTGGAAACATCCACGCTTGTAATGACAACTGCTGGAACAACAGCAACTATGCCTTCCTCAACATCTGCAGTTGAAACCACAATGGCTCAAACTGCCTCTTTTACAGAAATTACAACACTTGGCTCCACTTCTACAGAAACTACTACCCTTGGCACCACTTCTGTAGAAAGTACAACCCTGGGTACCACTTCTGCAGAAACAACATCCTCTGTAAGTTCAACAGGAATCTTGGAAACATCCACACCAGTAATGACAACTGCTGCAACACCAAACTCAATCATAACCACGCCTGCCTTAACATCTGCAGTTGAATCCACAATGGCTCAAACTACCACTTTTGCAGGAATTACTACACTTGGAAACACATCTGTAGAAATTACTGCACTTGACAGCACTTCTGTGGAAAGTACAACCCTGGGCACCACTTTTGCAGAAACTACTATCCTTGGCTCCTTTGCTGCAGAAACTGCTACCCATGGCACCATTTTTGTAGAAAGTACCACTATTGCCACAACTTCTGCTGAAATTACACCCTCAGTTAGTTTAACAGGAGTACTGTTGGAAACATCCACAATAGTACCGTCAACTGCTGGAACAACAAAGTTGTACTTTGATCCAAAAATTACTAAACTTGGCAGCACTTCTGTAGAAACTACTGCCATCGACACCCCTTCTGTAGAAGGTACTACCTTAAAAACCTCCTCCATAAAAACTACATCCTCTGTAAATTCAACAGGAATATTGGTTACATCTACACCAGTATTGACGTCTGCTGGAACAACTTCAGTTACTACTACACCTGGCTTAACATCTGTTATTGGAACCACAATGGCTCAAACTACTACTTCTGCAGAAATTACTACACTTGGAACCACATCTATAGAAAGTACTATGCTGGGCACCATTTCTGCTGGAAGTACACCCTCAGTTCGCTCAACAGGAAGAATATTGGAAATATCCACACCAGTAATGACAACTGCTGGAGCAACAACCTCATCTGTAGCTATACCTGCCTTAACAGCTCCTGCTGAAACCACAAAAGGTCAATCTACCATTTCTGCAGAAATTGCTACAAATGGAACCATGTCTGTAAAAATTACAGCACTTGGCACCACTTCTGTAGACAGTACAACCTTGGACACCACTTCTGCCAAAACCAGTACCCTTGACACCACTTCTGTGGACATTGCTACACTTGGCACCACTATTGTAGAAAGTACAACCCTGAGCACTACTTCTGCTGAAACAACATCCTCTGTAAGTTCAACAGGAACATTTGGGACTACTACACTTGCCACTACTTCTATAGAAAGTACTACCCTTGGCACCACTTCAGTTCAAATTACATCCTCGGTTAGCTCAACAGGGATGGTGTTGGATACATCCACACCAGTTACAACAACTGCTGGAGCAACAACCTCAGCTATAATTAGACCCGAATTAACATCTGTTTTTGAAACGGCAATGGCTCAAATTGCCACTTCTGCAGAAATGACTACACTTGGCACCCCTTATATAGAAAGTACTAGCTTAAGGACCACTTCTACAGAAACGGAAATCTCTGCAAGTTCAAAAGAATTATTGGAAACATCCACGCTTGAAATGACAACGGCTGGAACAACAACAACCTCATCTGTAACTATGCCTGCCTTATCATCTGCTGTTGAAACCACAATGGCTCAAACTGCCTCTTTTACAGAAATTACAACACTTGGTGCCACTTCTATACAATGTACAGCCCTAGGCACCACTTCTGCAGAAATTACTACCCTTGGAATCACATCTGTGGAAAGTACTACACTTGGCACCACTTCTGTAGAAAGTACAACCCTGAGCACAATCTCTGCAGAAACTACTACTTTTGGCATCACTTCTATAGAAAGCACAACCCTGGGCACCACTTCTGCAGAAACAACATCCTCTGTAAGTTCAACTGGAATCTTGTTAACATCCATGCTTGTAATGACAACTGCTGGAACAACAAGCATGACTACGCCTGCCTTAACATCTGCTGTTGAAACCACAGTGGCTCAAACTACCACTTCTGCAGAAATTACTGCACTTGGCACCACTTCTGTAGAAAGTACAACCCTGGGCACCACTTCTGCAGAAACAATATCCTCTGTAAGTTCAACAGAATTATTGGAAACATCCACGCTTGGAATGACAATGGCCGGAACAACAACCTCAACTATAACTATGCCTGCCTTAACGTCTGCTGTTGAAACAACAGTGGCTCAGTGTACCACCTCTGCAGAAATTACTACACTTGGTGCCACTTCTATAGAATGTACAGCCCTAGGCACCATTTCTGCAGAAATTACTACCCTTGGCATCACTGAAACTACCTCAGTTCATTCAACAGAAATAGTATTGGAATCATCCACACCATTAATGACAACTACTGGAACACCAACCTCAACCATAACTATGCCTGCCTTGACATCTGCTGATGAAACCACAATGGCTCAAACTACTACTTCTGCAGAAAGTACTACCCTTGAACCCACACCTGTAGAAGGTACTGCACTTGGCAGCACTTCTGTAGAAACTGCTACTTTTGGTACCTCTTCTGCAGGAACTACCTCACTTGGAACCACTTCTGCAGAAAGCACAACCCTGGGCACCTCTTCTGCTGAAACAACATCCTCTGTAAGTTCAACGGGAATCTTGAAAACATCGCTTGTAACAACTGCTGGAACAACAGCAGCTACGCCTGGCTCAACATCTGCAGTCAAAACCACAATGGCTCAAACTACACCTTTTTCAGAAATTACTGCACTTGGCTCCACTTCTGTTGAAAGAACTATCCTGGGCACCACTTCTGCAGAAACTACTACCCTTGGCACTACTACTGTAGAAAGTACAACCCTGTGCACCACTTCTGCAGAAACAACATCCTCTGTAAGTTCAACAGAATTATTGGAAACATCCATGCTTGGAATGACAATGGCCGGAACGACAACAACAACCTCAACTGTAACTATGCCTGCCTTATCATCTGCTGTTGAAACAACAGTGGCTCAGTGTACCACCTCTGCAGAAATTACTACACTTGGTGCCACTTCTATACAATGTACAGCCCTAGGCACCATTTCTGCAGAAATTACTACTCTTGGCATCACTGAAACTACCTCAGTTCGTTCAACAGAAATAGTATTGGAAACATCCACACCATTAAGGACAAATACTGGAACACCAACCTCAACCATAACTACGCCTTCCTTGACATTTGCTGTTGAAACCACAATGGCTCAAACTACCACTTCTGCAGAAAGTACTACCCTTGAACCCACACCTGTAGAAGGTACTGCACTTGGCAGCACTTCTGTAGAAACTGCTACTTTTGGTACCTCTTCTGCAGGAACTACCTCACTTGGGACCACTTCTGCAGAAAGCACAACCCTGGGCACCACTTCTGCTGAAACAACATCCTCTGTAAGTTCAACAGGAATATTGGAAACATCCATGCTTGTACTGACAACTGCAGGAACAACAACCTCAGCTATAACTATACCTGGATTAACATCTGTTGTTGAAATGATGATTACTCAAACTACCACTTCTGCAGAAATTACTACTCTTGACACCAGTTTTGCAATAACTGCACCCTCAGTTAATTCAGCAGGAATAGTATTGGAAACCACACCAGTAAAAACAACTGCTGGAACAACAACCTCAACTATAACTACACCTGCCTTAACATCAGTTGTTGAAACCACAATGGCTCAAACTACCACTTCTGCAGAAAGTACTAAATTTGGTACCATTTCTGGAGAAACCGCACCCTTAGTTAGTTCAAAGGCAATAGTATTGGCAACATCCCCACCAGTAATGACAACTACTGGAAAAACAACCTCAGCTATAACTTTGCCTTGCTTAACATCTGTTGATGAAACCACAGTGACCAAAACTACCACTTCTACAGAAAGTACTACCTTGGGCACTACTTTTCCAAAAACTACTACTCTTGGCACCACTATAACTACACCTGCCTTAACATCTGTTGTTGAAGCCACAATGGCTCAAACTACCATTAGGCACCACTACTGCAGAAACTACAACACTTGGCACCAATTCTGCAAAAAAAAACACCACCGTTGGTCCCACTTTTGTAGAAGGTACTTCCCTGGGTACCACTTGTGCACTACCCTTAGTACTACATCTGTAGAAGGTACTAACTTGGCCACTACTTCTCCAGAAACTACACTTGGAACCACTTCTGCATTAACTATAATGCTTGATAGCACTTTTGCTGAAACAACACCCTCAATTAGTTCAGCAGGAACTACAGCTGTAGGCACACCTGTCTTAACGCCTGCCGTTGAAACCACAATGGCTCAAACTACCATTAGGCACCACTACTGTAGAAACTACTACCTTTGGCACCACTTTTGTAAAAAAAACCACCGTTGGTCCCACTTTTGTAGAAGGTACTTCCCTGGGTACCACTTGTGCACCACCCTTAGTACTACATCTGTAGAAGGTACTAACTTGGGCACTACTTCTCCAGAAACTACACTTGGAACCACTTCTGCATTAACTATAATGCTTGATAGCACTTTGCTGAAACAACACCCTCAATTAGTTCAGCAGGAACTACAGCTATAGGCACACCTGTTTTAACGCCTGCTGTTGAACCCACAATGGCTCAAACTACCATTAGGCACCACTAATGTAGAAGCTACTACCTTACCTTGTTAAAAAAAATTACCGTTGGTCCCTCTTTTGTAGAAGGTACTTCCCTGGGTACCACTTGTGCACACACTAGTACCCTTGCCACCACTTTTGCTTGAAACAAAACCATCTGTTAGTTCAACAGGAATAGTATTGGAATCATCCACACATGTAATGACAACTGTTGGAACAATCTGCTGTAGAAACCACATTGGCTCAAACTACCACTTCTGAAGATATTCCTACAGAAACTTCTACCCTTGGTACCACATAATTATGCCTTAAAGTCTGCTGCTGAGTCCACAATGGCTCTGAAAACTACAAAAATATATCCTACAGGTACCACTGCAATAGAAACCAGTACCGTTGGCACCACTTCTGTAGAAACATCACCCTCTTTTAGTTCAAAAGCTATAATACTGGAAACATCCACACGTGTAATGACAACTGCTGGAACGGCAATTTCAGCTATAACCATGCCTGGCTTTAATGTCTGCTGTTGAAATCAGTCTCTCAAACAGAAACTACTACTATGGTGCTCTTGGCACCAATTCTGCAGAAACTACAACCCTAGGCACCACTTTTACTGAAACTGTTAATTCAACAGGAAAAGTTATGGAAATATCCACACCAGTAATGACAACTGCTCGAACAATCACATCTGAAACTACTCCTGGCTTAACATGTTGAAGCCACAATGGCTCTGAAAAGTCTCACTTATATGGAAACTGTTTTCCTGGGCATGACGGAAACTACTACAATCTCGACAGTCTCTTCGAAAACTACAACTTCTGCAGTAGGTAGTATACCACTTCTTTTGAAACAACTTTTCAATTTTACAAACATCTACACCTTTATCAGAGGTGGGTAGAGTCCCCCAAAACTGTACTCAAGTAAAAGTACTTATAGAAATATTTACTCCAGTAAAAGTAATAGTCTGAATAGTTACTTGAGTAAAAGTAAAAAAGTATCGGATAAAAAAACTACTCAAGCAGTTGGTTACTAGTTACTTTGGATCATATACTGTATATCTATAGTCTATTTTTATTTAGATATGTAGTAGGGCTGTCAACATTAACTCGTTAACGCATGCGATTAATTTAACAGTCCTTAACGCGTTAAAATAATATAATGCAATTAACACCATTATTGAAGCACAATTTCTATTCTAACTCTTTAACCCAATTTTGCTTCTCTGCTTGGGATCAGATCATTTTAAGCTGCTAAACTCCGGGAAAGTTTTCAGTCCAATGATCCAGTAATCGTATGCATTCAAACAATCCGTCCAAAACAGCGCTAATATAAAGGAAACAAGGCTGATTACATCAGAGATTGCAGAGAGAACAGAGACTCGCGTAGTGTTTTCAGTGAATTATTCATTCCAGTGTGTTTCGCTTTAAAACACTAGCTCTGTCATATTCTGTGATTGTCTCTGAAGAGCACGAGCTATGGAGATAGAATTGTTGCTTAATTCCAAATAAATAGATTAAGATCTATAAATAAATGTGAAGAGATTAACAAACATTAAACATATTGACAAATACATAGAATTAGATCCACAAATTAATCTTAAAGTTTCACAAACATGAATTAAATTCACAAATAAATAAAATGAGATTTGCAAATAAAAAAAAAAATTCACAAATATATGTTTGTCACAACCACAACTTTGCCTGGCATTTATTTGTGAATCGCGTCCTGTGCATTTGTAGATAGCTGCACGCATTTGTGAATCGCGTCCTGTGCTTTTGCGAATTGTGAAACATTTCTTGCGTCAAGACGTGCTAACAATCCAAAAATACCAGGGCTCGACAGTGCGAGCATTTCACTCGCATTTGTGACTAAAAATAGATGTGCACGAACTGGAAAATGTATTTAATTGCATGTGTGCGAATAATTAATTTTTTACCCAAAAAAAAAACAAGCAGATAAAACGGTAATAACGCGGTCTCTGGAAAAAAAACTTGCGTGATCCATGCAAAATGAGTGCAGGCGCCACATAAAAAAAAAAAACGTGAGGTTGCCTAAACGCAGTAGTGCATAGTGAGAGATAGACACAGAACATACATGAATCATGAAGCCAAATAGTCATTATTTCATAAGATGGAGCATGACAGAAACAGGCGATCCTGAGGAGGATATTGAAGAGGAGGGCGACGAAAACGTAAAAGAGGAACCAAGCGGCGATAACGGTTTATCCTCCACTGATGGTAGGAAATACAATTTGAATCCACAGTGGCAGAAAACATTCCCATGGCTCATTTTTGAGGACAACTTATTGTACTGCAAAGTAGAGTCCCGCACCCGCAGGAATATATCTTATCTGGTCCCACTCCCGCCCGCGACATTCATGTTTTGTCCCGCTCCCGCCTGCATAAAAGTAATCTATATCGACTTTTTCAGTACATCGAAGAAATTTACATGAAATGGTTCTGTAACATCTCCTAAGCTCCACAACACCCCCGCTAAAATATTTGTTATTTAGGCTAAGCATCAACATTAACAAACCACTGTTATTTTTAACAGAAAAGCAAGCATGGGCTGCTGCGTGCATGTTTGGCATGGCAGAATGAGAGCAGCGCTTCCTTTATTATCACTAAAAGCTGACAGCTCAGTTAATCTCTATCTCATAAAGCTCTGTTATAACACAATAAATGTATGCACAATGAATCTTTCACAATGTCTACACTTCATGTGTTAAAAT